CAAAAATGTCCTATCCGATGGAACAGGACAACTTGGACGCTGCTCAGTTGTTTCCTTGCCGTGTTTCCTGAACTGCACGATGATTCTGTTGACTGTCAAAAGCGGGATTCACAAATTCAGCAAAATTTGCCGCTGACTTATTCCACCATCTGCTTGACCAACTATCCTTTCTCTAACAAAATCGGACAATTTGAGAGAATCTTGAGTTGTAGGCATGTTTTAGCACAAGATAATTAGTGTGCGGACCATTTTCATGTGAGCACAAATTAGTTAGCATAAATCAGTTAAATGACGAAAAATTAAGTGTCTATTTACTTGTGACCACTCAGTGTACATTTGAATAACCAAAAGAATCATAAATTACTATATCAGTACTATAGAATTCCATTATAATTTATCAATTTTCGTAGAAGGTTGTATTTGGATCTAAAAAAATATTAAATTTTGAGCAGACTAAATATATGACTTACCTCTATGATATCTGGTATCGAAAGAAAGATATCATGACTTTATACTTGAAAATGGCTAAAAAAAAAAAGCCACTAGGGGAAATTCTGAGTTTTTGATTGGTTATTTGTCATTTATAGAAGTGTTTTTAAGGGAGCATTTCCAAAAATGGAAAGACATGGGCGGAGTGCTACTGTGTTTGATTTAATACAAGCGCAATATATTAGCAGATAGAAAAGATAAGACATTCTTATTTCATATTTTAGATTTTCAGTATCGGTAATTTGAGTTTCTAATTCATACGAAACTATAGACTTAGTATTTTTTACTTCACAACATTAATTTGAACCAGTGCTGCATTCAACATACCACATGATACACAAAAATCAATGTTTATCTGTGTTTTTTTAATATTTACTTTTAAATTAAGAAATTTAATAATATATAGTACTAAAATATGAATTATAATCTACAGTTTGATACAAAATTTGTGAAATAGTAGTTCAATAAAATTTTGAATGCGAGTCAACAAACGAGATGACATGGCCTTTCACCCGTGACCCGTCACAAAAGAGTTAATTGAAATTATTGTTTTGATTATGACTATTTCTAATTATTTTAACTGTCCATGTAATTGAAATAT